TCTATCTTCCATTAGTTATATGTAGATTTGTTTGATGAGACTTTTCTTTTTGCTTTGTACATATTGCATAGATCTCATCACATTTTCTACTTCAATAATCTTTTTTATCACCCATCATACTTGTTTTGCCACTACTACATGTTTTATCTGCTGTTCTTCGATATAGTAATTATGTATCCATCTAATTCACATCTTGTCCCTTTTGCTAACCAAATCCCAGTAAGTTTTTATTATGGCAGCCTTATTCCACAAGTGTATACTTCTCAAGTTCAGCCCACTACACTTTTTGGTGAGTAGAGTTTATCTCAGGCCACTAAAGCTTTCGTGGTAACTGTATTACTTTCAGACTATAGGTAGCTTCTACAGTATGCATCCACTATTTTTATAACTTTAGCTGGTAATATTTGTGCCCAGTAAGATTGTATCCCAAATAATACACTTTGTACCAGTTGAGTTCTACCTGCATAAGACAACTTTTTTTATATCCAAGATGAAATCCTTGCAATTATTTTCTCTATAAGAGGATACCATTGTATAGCTTCTTTGTTGACAATGGAACACCTAGGTATTTAAAGGCAGTTCACCATAAGAGAAACCAAGTTGTTGTATTATTTGTGCTCTTTCAGCTTGTGACACTCCCCTAAAGTATACATAACTTTTTCCCAGGTTTGCTTGTAATCCTGATGCTTCAGAAAAATGAGTGAAGTATTGATGCATTGCATTTACAAAAGATATTTCTTCTCTGGCAAATAATAATGTCATATGCAAAGTATAAGTAAGTGATAGCCAATTTAGAGCATCTAGGATGGTAGTAAAAATCATTCATATATGCTAGTCTTTTAAGCTTTTACTCAGGTATTGTTGAGATGGTTAATTATGTAAAGTGGCTAGATACTTGTAACGTGGTTAGTTAGTTAATTTGTAAAGAGGCAATCTTAGCTATTCATTTTAGTTAGGCAAGTTTGTATATATTGTTAATACAAATATTAAATAAATTTGGTCGGTTCATTCCAGATATTTTTTCTCTCTCTCTTCGTTATGCACTCTCTCTATCTCTCTGACCTCCATTGTTGCTCGTCTCAAGCTTGAGCGAGGTGAGGGCATGTGAAATCAATATGGTATCAGAGCCCGGCCACTCCATTACAATCATCTCCTTTGTTCATTATCTCTCTTCTGCTCATTATCTCCTTGATTTTGCCCTAACCGGTTCGATTCCTATGGTCAGTTTCATTTTTCCCTAATTTGAGTGCCTAAACAGGGGCTTATTCTTCTAACAACATAATACTAGCATAACTAGTTTCAATTACTCATGGCTGTGGATGATTTGAGCGATGTAGCTAGTACAACAGTGAATGTCGGAGTTCAAGGAAATTCTGGAATCGATCCAAGTGATCCTTTGTATTAACACCCGTCGGATAATCCCGGTGCTATGCTTGTGTTAACTCCTTTCAGTGGAGTTGGTTGTCGATCATGGAGGCGGAGTGTATTGCTAGAATTATCGGTTAAAAATAAACTAGGGTTTATAAATGGTGTATGCAAGCGTCCAGACCCCCACTCGTCCACATTCCGTCAGTGGGAGAGATGTGATGATATGGTACTGTGGAGTTATGGATTGAGTTAGAAGATCGATATGAGCAAATAAACAAAGCTAGATTGTATCAAATCCAAAAGAAAATAAGTGATACATCTAAGGGAACCCTTGATATCACCAGCTACTACACTAAATTGAAAAAGCTTTGGGAAGAATTGAGCACTTTGAGTAAAAGGTCCTAGTGCAACTATAATTGTACTTGTGGTACCAAGGAAAACTTCTACAAAACTGAACAAGATAGGTGGCTAATATAATTCCTCATGAGTTTGAACAAGGCATACACTGTAATTCGAGGAAGCATTCTCGTAATGAACCCATTACCAAGATTAGCTTAAGCTTTTTCCTTGCTGATACAAGACGAGGAACATAGGGAAATCAAACCAAACACTCAACTGTTTATTGAGTCCACATCATTGAATGCCACCAATTACTCACCCAACAATGGCAACTACAATGGTTATGGAAGGGGAAGTCCCATATGTGACTACTGCAAGAAGCCAGGGCACACTAAGGACATGTGCTATAAACTACACGGCTAACCTGATAGTTCTGGATATTCACGCAATCAAAATCAAAATCCCAATCAAAGTTTCAATCAAAATCAAGGTTTCAACCGAAATTAGAGTTTTAACAAAGGAAAAAAGGGTGGTGGCTAATGTTCATCCTGACACATCTTGCAACAAGACATAGGAAGCTAGCGACCTGAATGAAGATCAAAACATCAGTTTATTAAAGGAGTAATATGGACAGATCATGAATCTGTTGCAACACTTTCAAGCTGGGAATGAAGGAGAATATACAAATGCTGCCAATTCTATCAATAGAACTGTGAACTTTGCAGGTATAGTAGTTTGCACTTCCTCTATAGATTTTGGTAAATTGTCCTGTAAGTGTTTCAAAAATAAGACTGATTCCTCGATACTAGACTTAGGGGCTTCAAATCACATGACCTTTAATATGTCCCTACTTACTAACATTGTGACATTACCTTATCCACTCCTAGTTGTCCTCCCAAATGGCTATAAAATAAAATTAACAGAAATTGGTAGTGCAACACTTGTGCGTGACATCACCCTACATAAAGTAATGTTTATACCCTCTGTCAAATACAATCTAATTTCCATTCATTGTCTAGCCAGTTCCAACCCCAAGAGCATAGTAACTTTCACTGATCATCTTTTCATTCTACAGGACCCTTTAATGAAAAGGCCTCTGGAGATTGATAAGGCTTGTGATGGTCTGTACTTTCGTTGCCCAAAGTGTTTGAGGAACAAGTACTCATGTTCTGTAGTCAACAATTCAGTTTCTTGTCTTGATAATGAGACTCACTACACACACAACTCACCATGTCATGGTCATTCATCTGTATATAGTTCAATTTCAACAAATAAGTGTGTATCTTTCCCCTTTGTAAATAATTCAAGTTCAAGCAATAAAAATTAGAGTCCTAATCTGAATTCTTGTGTATCCACTCGTTATGATATGAATATTTTGTGGCATAATAGGCTAGGGTATGTACCCTTTGTCAAAATGAGAGGGATCTAATCTATCCATGTCCCTTTTCCATCCAAACAACCTTTTCTCTATTCCATCTGTCCAATGGCTAGACAAGGGATACTACCATTTCCCCAGAAAACTAATTTCACCACTGAAATTTTCCAATTACTCCATATAGACATATATGGACTTTATCATGTGGTAACATATGATAATTACAAATACTTTCTTACAATGGTAGATTATTACAGTAGGTGCACCTGGACCAATCTTCTAACCTGTAAAAGAAATGCACTACATGTTATAAAAACCTTTGTTTACATGGTTGAAACCTAGTTCAACACCAAAATCAAAACTATTAGGTCTGACAATGGCTCAGAATTTACCAGTACAGAAGCAAGCCTGTATTTCTAATCCAAAGGCATTATTCATCAAAGGAGTTGCCCTTACACACCACAACAAAATGGCATAGTAGAAAGAAAATATAAATATCTTCTAGAAACTGCCAGGCACTTTTGTTTCAATCTAAATTGCCTGTGAAGTACTGGGGTGAATGCATTCTATGTGTAACTTACATCATAAATAGACTACCTTATTCCCATAGTCACCCTACATCCCCATTTGAGTTACTTTACAAAAGAAAATCAATATACTCTCACATGAAGAGCTTTGGATGCTTGTGTTACCCTTCTATACCAAATATGCATAGGGACAAATTTGAACCTAGAACATCACCACACATATTATTTAGTTATCCCTATGGAGTTAATGGGTACAAGGTCTTAAGTCTTTCCACTAAAAAGATACATGTCTCTAGGGATGTTGTCTTCATTGAAAGTGTGTTTTACTTCTGTTTTTAATCCATCCCCTTTCATTGATCACACTCATAAGGATGATAAACATCTTTGTGATAGTGATAATGGCATAAGTGTTACACACAATCAACCTTTAGAGCATGATACTCCTTTATTACCTGTGAGATCCTCCAGGTTAACTGAATCTTCCACCTCCTCACCACAATCTAATACACCACAGTCTTCAAGTCAAAGCACATCACCAGTTGGTTATCAATCAGGCCTCACATCCAATACCTTAAGAAAATCACAAAGACCTCACAGAACACTACTATACTTACAAGACTATCTACACTCACTTCCAAAATTAAAATCAGCATCACCTCTTTCTCACAGTAATTTAGCTATACCATTTTCTCTCAGTGCTTTATTTTCTAAAAATTATCATGTCTCCCCTGATGCTCTAAATCCTAAGAGGCAAAGTCTTGTAAGAGACATACAGTGAGCCCTCATCATATGAGGGGGCAACTATGAATCATGCCTGGAAAATAGCTATGAACCAAGAGTTTGAAGTATTATATGCCAACCACACCTGGGACCTAGTGCCCTTACCTGTTGGGAAGAAAACTATATGGTGCAAATGGGTATATAAGATAAAACATCAAACAGATGGGAGTGTAGAAAGACTGAAAACTAGGTTGGTTATGAAGGAATATACCCAACAAGCAGGTATTGACTATACAAAGACATTCTCTCATGTAGTCAAGATGACAACTATGAGGTCTCTGATAGTTGTTGCTGCAAAGAAGAGGTGATATATATCCCAATTGTATGTAAATAATGCATTCCTACATGGGGACCTGAATGAGAAAGTCTATATGGAGATTCCATAGGGTCTGGCTGTAGATAGTTCAGAGTTGATTTGCAAGCTCAACAAATCCCTTTATGGGCTGAAACAAGCCAGTAGGCAGTGGTATGCTACGCTCACTGAAGCCTTATGTTCAAGGGGTTATGCACACTCTATTTATGACTACTTTTTGTTTTACAAGAAAAGTAAAAACTCAACTGTTTATATAGCAGTGTATGTAGATGGCATTGTGGTGACATGAACTGATATAATGGAAATTGAAGACTTGAAGGTGTTTCTAAATGACAGCTTCAAGATAAAAGATCTGGGCAGGGTACACTACTTCCTGGGTTTAGAGTTTTCTCACAAAGATGATGGTGTGATAATATCTCAGAGGAAGTTCACCCTTGACTTTCTCAAAGAGTATCAGTGCATGGACTACAACAACTTTACTTCACCACTAGACCCAACAGTCAAGCTCAAGGCAAAAGAGGAAGAGGCTTTGACAGATCCTACTTACTATAGGAAACTAGTGGGGAAGCTCAATTTCCTCACCAATACTAGACTAGACATAGCCTACAGTGTACAAAATCTGAGCCAATTCATGGATGACACCAGACAACCTCACTTGAAAGCAGTCTTTCATCTACTTAGATATTTAAAAACAGATCCAACCCTAGGGATATTCATGTCTAGAGATACAAATTATACTTTCAGGGACTACTGTGATTCTAACTGGGCAGTATGCCCAGATTCCCGAAAATCTATAAGTGGCTATCATGTATTATTGGGCAGCAGTCCTGTTAGCTGGAAGTCCAAGAAGCATGCCACTATTTCATTGTCTTCTGCAGAAGTAGAGTATAGAGCTCTGAGAAAGGTAGTGGGGGAATTGGTGTGGCTTAGTAGACTGTTTGAAGAACTTACAGTTCCTTTCCCCAAGCCTATTGTAGTGTTCTGTGATAGCTAGTCTGCCATGCATATAGCAAGGAACCCAGTGTTCCATGAAAGAACCAAACATATAGAGGTGGATTGTCACTTTGTGAGAAGTAAGCTACACGAGGGGCTGATTTCACTGCATGAACTACAGATCAACTTGCAGATGTTCTAACTAAAGCACTAACAGGAGTCAAACATTCAGCAGTCTTGCACAAGTTGACAGTGTTTTCCACACCACCAACTTGAGGGGGGTGTTGAGATGGTTAATTTTGTAAAGTGGCTAGATACTTGTAAAGTGGTTAGTTAGTTAATTTGTAAAGAGGCTATCTTAGCTATTCATTTTAGTTAGGCAAGTTTGTATATATTGTTAATACAAATATCAAATAAAGTTGGTAGGTTCATTCCAGATATTTTCTCTCTCTCTCTCTCTCTCTCTCTCTCTCTCTCTCTTCGTTATGCATTCTTTCTATCTCTCTGACCTCCATTGTTGCTCGTCTCAAGCTTGAGCGAGGTAAGGGCATGTGTAATCAACAAGTATTCCATGTAATGGTGAACAAAAAAAGATACACATGATCTCCTTGTCAGAGACTTTTGGCTGCATTGAATGTGTTGTTTGTTCACCATTAATCATGATGGTGTAGTTCATAGTTTTGACTCATTGCATTACCCATAGTATGAACCTACTAGGGAATCACAGCTCATTCATAACCTACTCCAAATATATCCACTTCACAGAGTCATAGGATTTTTAGAAGTCAATTTTGATCATGCATCTTGGAGACACATGTTTCCCTGTGTAGGCCTTTATCAGCTGATGTGCCATAATAATATTGTCACTAATCTTCTTTCCAGGGATAAATCCAGCATGTGCTTCACATATAATACTTGTAATTATCTTCTTAATCCTAGCAACAAGCACCTTGGAGATCAGTTTGTATAAGACAATACAACATGTGTTATGAATCAGCCCCAACCCAATGTCATACAGATAGTTATTGGGTTGAGAAGAGCTATTGGACGGAGAACAAATATTTTGACCATGTTAATTTGGAATCCACGTGGATTGGTGGGCGTAATGGTTCTGTTAAAAGGGATAGTGGTATGAGATTTTGGGGATATGCCTATTGTTGAGCTCTATAAAAATTTAAAAGTCAAGCTCTATAAAAATTTCTTCAATAAAATCTCTCTATAAAATATAAATTCTCTGTATTCTCCCTTTCCTTTGGTTTTATGCTTACTTTTATTAGTAAAATTCTAATTTTATCCTTTTGTTATTTTAAGTTTAAATTATAAAACTATAGTTCTATTAATTTTCTTTTTAATTGTTTAGCCAAATGTTGCATAGTTTGAATTAAAAAATTTGGTACACCATTTATCGACAAAAAAAAAATTTATTGACTTGTTTAAAGTTTGAATACCCTTGACGGAATTCCTGACTACATCATTGCCCATAGATAATAGTTAAAGCGCACACAGCCCCATTGATTCTTCCTTTAACCATAATGTGCAGCAATTGAGGATCTTCTTTCACCTTGTCCACCATATATAGATTTGTATCCCATACAAGCCATATTCTACCATTTCTAGCTGTGTGGTAGTTGTTTACCCAAAAAATTGGATAACGTTAAATTTGTGTATGGTTCTAAGTATATGTGATACAATTTGATACAAATTGTATAGGGAAATAGAAATATTTGTGTTCTTGGCTATGAGAATGGGAATAGTGAGCAAAAGAATGAATAAGGTGAAACAAAATAAGCTTGAGGATATCTCTTTCAATATGAGAAGTGATCTTTTGTTACAATGTATTTTTTTCTCTCTGCCTTGCTTACAAGGACCCCCCCTTTTTATAATAGAGGAATCCTACTTCATTTATAATAAAATAAAGCATATAATGGAGGACCCATGATGATTTGTCTCTTCCTCGATTTCCGCCAAGATTCTCTCTCTTAATGCGGTTGTAACGACTCTTGTCTGTGAGCTCGACACTAGCTCGGGCTCGTTATTAGGTCGAACCCTCGGTTTTGGCTTGAGTCCGACCTCGGGGATGGGCGTAGCACATTTCTGACCTCGAAGCAATGCCTTGCGGACCGATTTGGTCACAGGCTCGATGAAAGTATCGAGTCGACTCCTCGATCAGCCTTCGGACTCGAGGCTAATTTGTACTGCCTTCGGAACTCATCCCAAAATCCCACTCCGGTTGCTTACCATTCGAACTCGATCGAACGTAGAAAGACCAAAATCTATTTTGACCGTATACAGATAGTCCCCCCGTTTCTCAGGAAGGATGTGGTGAGAATTGACATGATCTTCGACGGTTCGATCGGGTTATAAGCTGACGTTTTCACAGGGCTCGATCATGACGTATGTGATAGCTGTCCCGTCGATTTAGTCTTTTCAAGGTATTTAATGCATGTCAGACGGTGGTCGGCCACCTCTGATATTGAACCGTCACGATGCAAGCCTATAAATAACCCCTCCATCTAACATTTACCACTTTTACATCTTTCACTCTTCCAAACTTTCTTACCCTTTCTCTCTATTCCGTCGCTTGCAAAGCCATTTGCATCAATTTTTCATCTTCCTTTACCTTTCTTTCTCTTGTATCAATGGCCAAAAATTCGAAAACTCTACCTTAGAAGGAGAAAGCTTCTTCTTCACGACCGTCCGACGACAAGGCACCGATGGAGCCACCTACTTATGAGTATGTTCCCGGCCCGTGTACTCTGAAGATCGATTTTAAGGTTGAGAATCCTTCATCTATTTCGGGTCGATGTGAGCATGTGTTGATGTACATGTGCTCGATAATGGAGGGTTATCTCGAGGATGTGAGGAAAGACTACAACTGGGGTTCCGAGGTTGTGTTACAAATTCCCTCCCCCGAAGAGAGTGTCATCACCCATGCGGAGGGATTTTTAAGTGTTTACACTTACCCCTTCACGTTGGGTCCCGTCGACCCGGTGATCATCGATTTTTGCAAGAGATATCAGGTCACTCTTGTTCAAATTCATCCCTCTCTATGGCGTATAGTAACCTTACTTCACTTCTTTTCCAACAAGGTCGGGGGCTGGAATTTTCCCCGAATCACCTCATATGACTGTATCGGCCTCAAATCTTTCGAGGACTAATCAGGCTTCATCGTCAGGCATCGAAGACTTTGATGTCGAGCATCAACGAAGACAAGGATCGGGGTTGGATGGGCCGTTATATCCGAGTGAGGACCCGTGATCTCATTCCGAAAGAGAAGATGTCGTTCCCTGAGAAATGGAATTTCAACCATACGCGGTTTTCATAAGACGTTGATTTTCGTATCTTTTTTCGATTTTGTCTGATTTATTTCTCCGATATACAGCTGCCCCTTGGATGCCACAAGCAGTACCCTATCTCGAGGATTGGGTTCGGAAGTTAGCCTCGACTTTCTCTTATGCCGAACGCGCTTGGCGTGATTTGGCAAAAGGTAGATGGGAGGCCAAGAATCATGGTAGGGATTGCTTCTCGTGTTTTTCGAAATATTTTTTATGCTCCATTCATCACCGATTTCCTTTTATGCAGGTGTAACCAAGGATGCCTTTTTGAGGCCTTCGAGTGGTAAAGAAGGAACCAAGTCCCCGGTCCCGGAACTGGGGAAAGATAAGAAGCGAAAAGCTATCTCTCGAACAGAGGACCCCAAGCCCAAAACTCGAAGGGTGAGGAGGAAAGTAATCGCTCTTTCGATGGACTCGGTCCAATGACTGAGGGAAGAAGAAGAATAAGAAAAAGATGATGCCTCGGCTTTGGTGATCCGATCTGCGAAAGCTATCGAGGTCGCCAGAGCTTCTGAGCCGATGGAGGTTGTACCGGTCGGGGTTGATTTCGGTACCCCGAGTCTCGATCAGAGCATCCCGAGAGATTCGCTTGGGACCATGACAGTAGGTCATTTGCCTTCTCTTCCAACCTTTTCTGAGGAGGCTCGAGAATTGAAGACCCTCGATATGGGCGAAGGTTCTAGTGTAGGGGATCCTTTTCGGGATTGCTTTACTGGAGTCGATGATGCCTCCGACATTGGTGATGCTTCTCTTCTCCTAGAGGAGGCCCAACATTTCATTACTCGGGTAATGATTTTACTGTACTTGGTTTCTTAGTTCTTTTCCCAAACTTGACTTGTGTTATTTCCTACTGTGCAGGCCATTAGTAGGTTTCGAGTCAACCTCAGCCAGTGCGAGGTCGAGCTTCAGAAGGTCTCGGGGGAGAGAGATGCCCTGCGGCTTCTTTGCAGCCAAAAAGACGAGGCTATAAAGGACCTTCAAGCAGATTTGTCTAAGACTCATGAAGAAGAGGCCGAACTAGATAAGCAGGTGAGCCTCGTTCTGTTAGAGTATTGGTTTGACTCAACTGTAGAAGTTAACCCTTCATTATCTCAGCTGCACCAGAAGGTTGAAAAGATCGGGTTACTTCGGAAAGAAGTTGATCAAATTAAGGCTGAATGTAATCGGTGGAAGGAGACTATCGACCGCCTAACTGCGAAAAAAGAAACCATCTTGGCCAAATTGTTATCGGCTGATGTTCAGCTTCGAAACATCAAGAAAAAGGGTTCGGCTCAGGCTAAGAGGATCGAGGAGCTTGAAGCACAGCTTGTTGAGGCCAAGGCGAAGGTTGAGTCGTCGAAAGTCATGGCGGACAAGTCCATTGCCGTGTACCGGGATGATGCCGGGGCTGCTCAGATGGAGGCACGAGAGGCGGCGGATACTGCCGACACTCGAGCAAATTGGATTGCCGAACTTGCTAAGTGTCGGTCTCGGAGGGAGACCCTCGAGGAGATACACGCTCGAGGTTTCAACTTTGCTGAAGAGATAAAGAAGGCTAAAGAGCTCGAAGATGAAGCTGAAGCCTTGGCTTCTGATGGCGATGATGATTATGATGACGGTAACAAGAGCGGATCAGAGAACAGGGGAGAGCCCGATAAAGTAAAGCCCGTTCCTGAGGATGACCAGGAAGTTTAGTCTTGTAATCAACTATGTAGATAATTTTGTATATTGATAATTCTGCTGACTT